CATTTAGTTTTAGGCATGGTTCTTTACATGAATTCACATGCAGTGGGAAGACTTCTGTTATATATTTATGATTTAGCAACTCAGAAAGTTGCTTTTGTACAGGCCAGATTTTTCATCTCATTTATTAAATCTTTAGCTGGAAATTCCAGGGCATAAATTTAGGACTTTCTGGAACTGCAGAGCATATGTTCCAGCATTGAGTATAGCATCCATTAACATTGATTTTATATTATATTTATGTGGGTTTTTTTGTAATATGTGAAAGAATCCTTATAGTTTGGGATGTTGTGATATGTGATTTGTTTCACTTGTTTGACCTACAATGGTTAACTTGTTGTTGGAAACAGTTTCTTCTATTGTTTTGGAGCACTTAGCGTAGAGGACATTATAATGCTTGTGGGTCATTGTTATCCAAATGATATATGGAGGGATTCTAATGTAAAGTAAGGAGACCTAATTTGCACAAATCTGAAAAACATTGAAGAAATAAGCTTTGAACAACCAACAATTTAGTAGCCACTGCTAAAAATTGCCCATCTGTGGATGTGGCTCTTGAAAAAAAAAAAAGATATGTTTCTCTTCCTTTCTCCTATGCCATAAAGATAATAAAAGTTAATCAACAAAGAATTAGAGAAAGCTTGTGTTGTGCAATAGTCCTGTCTCAATTGTGGAATTTTACAGGAATGTCAGAGATAGAAGATCTTTGCTCTATAATTCCAGGAATGCCCTCCTTCTATCTTCTGTAGTGTTAAATAAAAGACAAAACAGACATAATATCTTTTGAACGATAGACTTAAGAACTGGAAACAATTAAGCAAATTGTTAAGTAAGTAAATTAACTAAATATTAACTAGGGGAATCTCTAAGCATCTTGTTTGATGCAACTACCAATGTTTATTTATGCTTTGTGGTTGCCATAAGAGGTAAATTAAATTACTTGACATGTATAGAAATGTCTGATTCTGTTTATTTTGTAAAAAGCCACAAACCAAAAACTATCCATGTGCCTCAGAAACATTTATAAGTAAGTGGGCACCAAAAACGCAAATTCACCAAATCACTTAAGAGAAACATTCTAAAGTTATAGACATTGGATTCCTAAAGTTTCAAATACAGAATAGCAAAAGAGACTGAATGCATTAATAGTGAACAGCAATAAAGAGACTTGTGCTTCCTTGGCTAATAACCGGCCAAGGTGGAAATTACACAAAATGGCTATAATAATTATGAGGGTGACTGCTTTGGAAAAAGTAACTTGATAATTACATTCATATATTTTCATATTCTGACAATTTTATTGTTTTGATTATTTGACTGTTGGACTGGACAGAGCATTTAAAAGCTAAATACTTGGAAATGAATATAATTAAAGTCTAACATGTATTTAACTGGAAAACACAGAAAGTGCTTTCCCAAAAAGAAATGCAGTAGAAAGTTGGATTGCTTAAGCTGTTCTCTTTGGCTAGTTTTCTTCAGGGAAACGTATATAAAAAGGCATAGTTTTAATAAACAATCAGTAGAAATAAGCTGATCACAGCATTCTAGATCACAAGCTCCTTAGGCTGCTTTCTTTTAGACAATAAATAAAAGGTTTTTTTGTGTTAACATTCCTTTGAATGGAATGTAGGATTTTCTAACACTTATTTGTGAAAAACTAGACACTGCTGCAAACTTGGTTTGTACAGGTATGTTTTCATTTCTTTCCCATCATTTTGGTTGCACCGGTATGTGCATGTGTGTGTTACTTTTGTCTGTTGAACAATTGGCAAAATGTATATACAAAAAGTTTCAGTTCAGCAATACTTAAAGACATACTTGTAATTAAAATCAACAAAACAAAACCATATATTTCTTCATGTATTCCACAAGTATCTCTTTGATAATTTACAAAGGAAGTGGCTTTTATTTTTTATTTTTTTTGCTCTTTTACTTTTTAATTTTCAGTTGACATGAACAGTGTGTTTATTCATTTATATTTTGCTTTTTCTAAAATAATGAAAATTGTTTATATTAAATTATATTAAGACACCCTATTAAATTAAAGAAATAAAATAAAATCTCTCTGTTTCTTTGCTTTCTCTGGAGGGGAAAGAGGAATCTACAAAGCAATTCGCACCCATGTAACATTCCCCCCTATTTAAAGAGCAAACAACCTTTTTTCTTTTATCCTATTATGCTTGTATAGTTACTAAGCTACTGCTTTGCCCTGGTGATAAAGCTGATTCCATCATAGAGGCCTATGAGGGTTTGGTGTTATAAAATAAAAAGGTTGAAATGTTTGGAGTCATACTTCCCTTTGATGAAAAATGTGGCTTCATAAATCAGGATGGGAAAATGCAAGCTACAAATATATTGATATTGTAAACTCATCATGAACAGGACTTAAACTAAAATGTGTGTGTGTGTGTGTGTGTGTGTGTGTGTGTGTGTGTGTGTGTGTGTGTATTTGAGTGTGCCAGTTTTTAACTCCTAATGACTGCTGGACTACTCCCTGCAGTTTGCTTGGGAAGATTGTTTTTTTCAGAAGTGATATTTTCTTTATCTTCTTTGTTGGATGAGAGAAAGTGAGAGGCCCAATATATATTAGAACTAGAACTCACAATCTCTTGGTTTGTACCCTGATGCCTGAACCACTATACCAGTGTTTCCCAAACTTGACAATTTTAAGGCATGAGGACTTCAAGTCCCAGAATTCTGGGAGTTGAAGTCCACATGCCTTAAAATTGTCAAGTTTGGGAAACACTGCACTATACCAAGCTGACTCTAACCAAATTGAAGAATTGATGAATTCTTATAGTGCCTGGTAATCTCCTTACAAGGCATTATGTTTGATATGAGAACATCAGCAGACCTTCTACAGTACATTAGGGAACAACATATAAGAAAAACATTCTCAGAGTAAAGTTCTGGAATGTCTAAATTATGCATTAAGGCTACAAGCACATGAAAGGTGGCTAAACAGCCTACAGGTTAGAATTATTATAAATATGTACATGATTGATTTGATTTTTGAAAAATATCTCATGTTTCTTTTTTTGCCATTTGTACATCTAAGTTGGCAAAGCAGCCATCTCATAAAAATTCCCAAGTAATATTTCCTTTTTTCATTCTAGGATGTAATCAACTAGGTTTTTAACTTTTAGAAACAACTTGAGTAATAGAAATAAAGAGATTCCGGTCTTCTTGGTTTTCAAGAAAGGGTTACATAAATTGCAAAAGGGGTGAGAGAGGAAGAATCAAAGGTAAGCTTTGGATGATGAAAAGCAGTCTTTACATTCATTACAGAGACAATCATATGGCTGGTAAAAATTCAAGGAACGTGTAGTCCAGCAATGCAGTCACAAATGTGGGCTTGTAACATTGAAAAGAGTTTCAGTGAAGATCTCTTAGGCATACAGTTATCAAGCAGGATCTCCCTGAAACTTCATCATCTGTTATTCAATATTTTGATTCTAGAATTCAATCCAGAAATTACTGCAAGCTCACACATCCTTCCACCTCAATGACTATAAAAATACACTAATCAGAATCAACATAAACTGTTAGTTCTACTAGTGAGAAAGCTATTATTCTGTTCACATCTTCATCTGCTAGGCAAACAAGACAAATGAAATCTGGTGATTGACTTGAACTTAGTGTGATTTGATTTTAAACATGTCAGGGCTATGGTCATGTGAGTGACTTGCTTCCTTCTTATTTCTGCCTTACATCTAGGGGGAAATGGATGACTTTGATGTTGAAAAATATTTTCAGGAGACAATGAAAGACACAACATGAGTTTAACAATCTATAATGTATTTTTTGTGTGGGCGTTTTTGTAAATATGAAAGTTGTTATAAGTAGTTCCTTTTGAGGGCAAACATAAATATAGAAATTTAAGAAGTAAATTATGATTCTGAGTCTGGGGTTAAAAGAGGCCATAATAAAACTTTTTCATACCAGGACAGATCCTTTTTTTATTTTTTTAGTGAAGTACAGCTTCAAGAATGATGCAAAAATAAAATTGCTCCAGTTATCTTTTTTTTTAAAGGTAACACTTGGCATTAAATTTTTAAGATTGAAGTATTTACTTATACAGTTTTGTGTTTAATCTGAGACTTTTCAAAGTCAGCAACAGACTGGAAGGATAAACAAACTGAAAATGTTTCTGATTGCAATATGGTTCATTTTAAAATCAGTGTATAGGTTTGTCTTTGATAGAATTGAAACATGCATGATATTAACTTAATAGTATTCCTAGGGGAGCAGTTGATATGGGGGCCAATAAGGCATTTGTCAAAGTCACAAGCCCAGACCTGAGTCCAACAGAAAAACAGTCACTCTGGGACCAAGGAAAACTTGGTTTATTCAGGCTGGGAAAATAAAGGCACACTTTGGATTACAAAGTGATAAACAGCAATTGCAAAAACAAAGTCAGCACTGGGAGCTGACTAGTTTAACATCTTAAACTAGTGAAATGTACTCTGTCTGGACAGTTTGATTGAGGGTTTACACTGATTTAGGGCTTCTACTCCTTTGCAATGGCAAATTTAGAATATTTGGCACTCAGAACAGATCAGAAGGTGGAGCAACAGTTTCAGGCTATCCTGCTCCCTGTCTGTTGCTGCATTGTGCTACCAATCACCAAATAACTGTCAACCAGCAGCTGATCCAACTCTACCTTTGTTGTTGATGCTCAGGATAGACATTTTTCAACCTCAGCAGCTTTAAAACAGGTGAACTTCAACTCCCAGAATTCTGCAGCCATCAACTCTGGTAATTAATGTCCACATATCTTAAAGTTGCTGGATAATTTCCTCAGACAATTCACCCCTTATTGTCTGCATCCATGCCAGTCTACCTTCACTGCCACACCCTTCGTATGCCACTGCTCTTCCTTCTTTTATTTCCAAACCTTTCCAAATCAGTTTAAAACCAACCTGCAATTGTTTCATTACTGCTGAACTAAAAAATGCTGAGAAAAACATTGCTAATCATTACTCTTTCTGTCTTACTAATAGGTGACCACAAAATACATCAGTCAATCAATTTCCTACTCGGAACTGCTACAGACCTGAAGATTTAAAATTAAAATGTCATTCTGCAATTCCTCCCCCTCCCCATGTTTCTAAGATGGGAAGCTATAAAGGAGTAAATGGAAGAGAGCATTCAAACTACTTTGTTACCATCACTATGCTACACAGAAAAATCTGAGAAATGATCAAGAACATGAGAATAACTTGATAGGTCAGCCAATCTGTCTAACAATCCGTTTCACACAATAGCCATGAAATGCATCTAGGAAACCCGGAAATAGAAGATCCATCCAGTGCTCCTCTCCCATTGTTGCTTCTGTGTACCTAGTGGGTTGACTAATTGCCATCTTGGACATAGCACCCAGTCATCAAGACTGGTAACTGATGCTTGTCCTTCATTAATTTATATACTATACTGCAATTCCTTTCTGAGACCTCTAAACTAATAGCCACAGTTTATTGCAGCCTATTTCTCTACTGATTGCATGCTATGTAAACAAATGTTTCTTCACATGAATTTTAAAAGTATATCATCAGAAAGAAGTGCTGAAAAATTTAGAGAGGCTCCTCAAATTTTTCTTTAAAACAATCAGACAGGGTTGGTTGATTGACAATATTTGTAGCTGTTCTTGTGCGCACATTAGACCCATGAAAGAATCCAGAGTTGGCATTGACAAGATATTTGTTTTTCCCTTCTCCTTTCCTAGGCCAGTAGATGGTTTGCTTAAAAGATTCTGCTTAAAAGAAAAGAGCAGCCTTCTCTGGTCTCAAATAAACTGAATACCGGCAATACAACTGACTCAGGTCTCAAAATGATCCCACATCATTCCTTCGTATGGATCCAGAACCAATTACGATGGAATGCAAATTGCCCTATTGGTTTGGATTATTGTATTCACCTGCTATATGAACTGCTTTTGAAGAATATTTGGACCATCATTCCATACTGAATTGTAGCCACCAATGTGTAGTTGGATGTGGATGCTGTAGACTTATTGGCCCATTCTGTTTTTCATTCCCCCTCCCTTCAATTCTTTCCCATGCAGTTCTGATGTTGTTTATAAAAATGTCAATCTATCAGCTGAATTAATTTCTACTAGAGACTGGATTCAATTGGTCCCAAAGTCATTTAAAATCTGTACATATGGGGTATTAAAAAGGTGTTTAAAATAAGAGTATTCATCAGATCTAAGACAAAACTTGATTTGGAAAAGAATTCATTTTGAATTGAGTCAAAAGCTGCCTACTATTGTGATCCAAACTGAAAGTAATTTTTGAAAAACCAAACCTTTGTGACTACCATTGAATAGCATGAAAAATACACAAATATTTTTAGCTATATAAAATAAATAAGTAGCTATATAATTTTTTTTAGAAAAAAAAGTTAAAATTGAATGTAATAAATGTAATAAAATGTGCAGGTGCTAAGGAGAACTAGAAAAAAGCTCAAAAAGACATTCAAAAAGAACTTTAAGGAGAATGCAGAAGAAAATAGAAGTATTCAGAAATGAGAAAAGATGAACAGTCTATTTTGTGTCTACAAACACACACATACATTAAGGAAAATAAGAATAGCCCCAAATATTAACACCACTATGCATTTATTATATATTTAATGATAATAAATGACTTTGCATATGGTTAAAACCCAAATGTTGTTTAATGTAAGAGCAGATTAATCTTTAGTGAGGTCTTTATTCTAGGAAAGCAACTATCTGCGTGTATATGTTTATGTGTTTAAATAGCATGTTACATATACATATATGTATACATATGCATGAATGAGAACACAAGGTAGGTGTATTATACTGTAAAATATAGGTTACTTACTGTACATTTATAGTTTCCATATTATTTTGAATTATTTCCATTATTTCTTGAGTTCTTCCCCTTTATGGAGTTAACATGCTAAGACCCAGTTCTAAGCTCTAGGTAGACTAATAAATACTTTTCAGATGGTTTAACTACAATAGCCGTAATCTCTGGCCAATACGGCCCATTGCCAGCAGTTACAAGAATTGTAATTTGGAATATATAAAGGATACCAGGCAGCCTGTAGCAGCTCTGTGACATTTTTTCTTACTCATGGGATTAATCATTTTGCACTTTGCAAATTAATCTTAGAACAGCTAAAAAAGTTCCACCCAGGATGTCTCTGACCTGGAAGAAAGATCTGGAATGTTCTTAAGCCCAAACGACAAAGGGAGAGTGTAGAATTGCTGGAGGTGAAGCCTCTCTGCATTCAGCTCAGAGCAAAACAGAAACATTTTGTGAAACTGATACTACTAAAATAAACTGGAATAGAAGAATGACAAAGGAAATTCTGATTTAAATAACCTTGTCAATACTGAGTTGCTGGAATCGTCACATATTGTGTTCCCTTTTCTTAGTCTCTTTGGCTTTTACTCTTCTACTTGGTCTGCCTGTGGTGTCAGTTAATGACCTTGTGAAGCTTCTTTTATTAACGCTACTAGTTTTTGATTTCTCCTGTTCAGTTTGTGAGACTTTCTAGCTTTGACTCCTGACAGACTACAGATTGCTCTTCTCTGATCAAACCTTCCTGACTGCAAACTCCAGCAGAGATTGTCAGCCTTGGGCAAGACAGCAGTAAATTCTTGCAGTAAATCTCACTGAACCTGAATAAATGCTTATGATACAACTGGGCGGACATCCTGATGAAATGATGCATATATAGGTAGTCCCCAGTTTAAAACATGTTCCATTCAAAATGTCTGACCTTAAGTCAAATTTGTATGTAATCCTGAACAGCATTGTTGTATAATACTGTACAACAAGAAGAATACACAAGTAGTATTGTGTAATGAACGCAAACCATTCTGCATTTAACTCACATATAATAGACTCTGTACTTAACTATGAGTTGTCCTGAACCCAAAGACTTGAGGTACCACAATATAACAAAATTATGGAGATTAAAACTGGGCCCAAATAATTTGCTCCCTGATACCAGGGATAAAGTGCTCCCCATTCTATATACATAATCTACTCGGCTGGCAGAAGGCATTTATTTCAAAGAGTTAGAAATCTAAGTGGCAATACCGTCTTCAAAACACCTTTTTTGGAGGTCACAACATTTTATACTTTTATTTGTGAGCCACCCAGAGTTGTTGGGATTTAATAATATATAAGACAATGAAAGCTTTGAAGAATTAAATTGAAACAATCAATTAAGCTGAAATAACCAAGATAAATACTAAAACATAAAAAAGAGTAAAATTCTGTGTTTCTGTGTTCAGGAAAAAAGGTACTTATTTTGTAGCTGTAGGAGCTTAGCTTGGGTTTTTTTTAGATGTAGCCCCATTTCTTTCAATAGAAATTTGCATCTGCTTTGTCCTTATGTAACCCACTTTATCAATTTATCTGCTTTTTTTCCTTTGGAGAAAAAAAAACCCAAGGCAAAAGGAAAAGAGAAATTCTATTAGCACATAAAATGCTTCAGGCATATCTTCATCAGGAAAAAATATTTTAAAAAGAGAGAATGTGCAAGTGAATGCCTTGAAATAATGATAAAACGTGCCAGTGAAAAAGAGGACATTAAAAATAGTTCTGATTCATTTAGGACAATCATAGCAAAGCAAATTGCTCTAAAAGTCCACAGCTTTTTAACTTGGAGAAAGTTGTAGAGAGTTTGATCCCTTATCAAGACTAGGATCAATATTAATAAAACCGTTTTATTGTCTTTTAAATAGGAGTTGCAGAATGACAGAAAACAATGTAACAGAATATGTAACTATATTTGCCACTTTCTTGTAGTCATGTTAGTTCAAAACCATCATCAAAGGAAATATGCTGAACTGCTCTGAAGAACTTAACAACATGGGGTAAAAAAAACAGAGGCCTCTTTTGCAGGAATATACATTGTTTGGAAATTAGAAGACAGATGTTGACACTGTATTAGTTACAATCCCTGTCTAGACTGTCCTAACTGAGTAGGTAATGTGTTTATAATACACAAGTAGACTAATCTTTCCACTAGACTCTCAGAAGTCACATAGACACAAAACAGGAACAAATACTAGGAAAACATTACAAGTTCCTTTTTAAGAATAATTACAGAACTTATTCATTACCAATACTCAGAGGACCCTTGTATATTATATCTGTTTAGGGACTGTTAAATTCTTTCACTCCAGTGGTTTAAAGTAGAACAACTTATCCAACCTGGCACATTCCAGGCATGCTTGTAATATGCAGATTATGGGAAAGGGATTATTAAAAGTCAGGAAAAAAGCCTTCAGTATATGACTTGGAGGTCATATATGGATAAAGCACTGCAAAATCATTGTATTGATAAAGAATATGTGTAGATCAACAGACAAATCTGTTCAACAGAGCACTTGTGGGAGTGTTACCATGGATGATTTTGCATAAAGAAAGAAGAAAGATGTTTTTTAAGAGTCTTGTTAAACATTGTAGGGAGGCAATAGCTGGAAAGACACAACCAGATTCTCTGGCTTTGACTAACGTTTACTTATCAGCTTATTATACCGCACTGTTGTTTCTGGACTAAGCAGGGGCTGCTGATTATTGAACTGATTGTAAATAACCGTTTCTTTTAATCAGGTGTCCAGTATTTCAAGCTGTGCATTCAAATGGAAAGCATGACTGACATGCACTTTTATGAAAATAAGATTAATCAACATCAGTGCACTTTGATTAAAGGTAAGCTTGATCTGAATGTAAGCAACATATATTAATGATCCTTCTCAGTTAAAAAAGCAGAACAATTCCCTAAAACAGGAATTTCATCCAGTGGTTCTGAACTATGAGCCACAGTTATCAAAGGCCATTGACAAGGTCTGCAGCCCATTCTGCGCTTTGCATTTTATATCCCATTTCATAAAGATCAGAAAAAAACCAGGAATTTGCATCATTTCCAGTTGCAATATGTTGGTAATATGAAGCAAAACAGATTTTTTCAGTGCCGTTGTAACTTCAAATAGTCACTAAGTGAACTGCTGTAAGTTGAGGACTACCTGTACTCCAGGCTTTGTGCCATTGGTACTTCAGTCTTTTTAGGCATGGAAATTTTATTTTGAAGGAAGACATTCACTAATAACACTGATTAATATTACTACTTTTTTTATCTCAGTTCTCATTGCCATTATTTTAGCACTGGTCACCCTTACTTTTAATTAAATGCCTCCATTTCCTTTCCCTAGAAGGGAAAATGGCAAAATATTTCTGAAACAGAGATCAATCACTAAATACTGTGGATTTATTGCAGGGAAAGTGCAATAAAAGTGTTATCACAATTTTATTACAGTATGAACTTCTTTCATGTGATAATGAAGAAAAAAGTTCACTTGGTAAAATGTTCATGGAATATTACCCTAACAGAGGAGTACGAAGTATAAATCTATAGTTGGCTGGAGAGGTGAATAATGAAAAAGAAGTTAGAGAAAAATGAAATATGGGAGGACAGATTATAAAAAATAGTTATTGATAATGACCATTTATGAATGAAAAGCATGACACTGACATTGATGTCCTGATCAGCGCATTAAATGTGAAGTGAACCCTTAGTCTCTGAATTAATCTGACTTAATTAATATTAAATTTTGTGAATTCTATCTCAGGTTTTTCATCGTGAAATTGGTCTTTGCAAGGTCTTTGCCCAAAGATGACCACCCTGAAGTCAGTGAACTATAAAGTTATCACTGCAGTTGTTGGCTATTGTCATTTCTGATGTCAGACTTATGCCTGTTTCTTTTTTCGTGCTGGTACTGGCCAGTAAGATGTATTGGTATTTTTCTGAGATTACAGTATAAACTGAATTGAGACATTTTATTAGTAACCCTGTTACTTATCTTAATCCTACAAATGTCTATTGTGATTTCCCAAGTCAGTTCTTTGATCTCTAAGGATTGCCTACAGATCTCTTTCTTCTTCTGAGAAATTATGGGGACTATACATGTATTCTCTGTTGTAAAGAATAGTTGAAAAAAAAAGATAGCTGTAATGAAAGGAGTCAATCTGTATGCTTAAATGTTTGCCTCAAAAGAAGGATGTTTACCTAGCTCTACAAAGTGGGCCTACTCCTTGATATGATAACAAAGACTTTTGACCTTCTCATCCTTTAAAAAGTGCTTTGAAGTTTCTCAAATACAATCATGCTAAGAGGAAAGGAACCAAATAAAGGACATTGGCAAAAACAGAATGAGTTTTAAAAGTGCCGTTATATGTTATACACTTAATATTGGTGCTTAGTAATAAACAAGAGAAGGAAATACATTAGGAGTTATCCAGATTTTCACTAATGGTTGGGAAAAGATAAATATATTCTGTTTCAAATATAGTTTTTGGCTTGGAAAAAAAAAGGCTTTCCTTCTCTACAATCTGAAAATCATTGAATGAAAGAGGCCATGTCTTCTGTTTGATATCTATTAGAGTACATTAGCATATAGCTGTTTAGGCTTCCAACTTAACTCCTAACAACAGTTTGGAACAAGAAAGTGTGGGAGGTCAGCCCCCCAGAGAAGGAAATATTAAAAGGGCAGAAAAATATATTTCCTCAAAAGGATTTTAAAAGCAGAAACCAACCCTGCCCCCAAGTCTCTCTGTCCCAAGCAGAAGCCAGCTCTGTACAAATGCAGATGTAAACCATCAGAAAGGCCCCAGCTAGAAGCTTAAGAAGACAAAGATACCTAAGATCTGCATACCTCACCCAAACTCTAGGAGTCATTAACCCCAGCACCAGGGAAGCAGGATATGACCTTTGGTCATAATAGGACTAACCCATCACCATCAGAATACCAGAAAGCCACACTCAACTCAGGTCAGAATATGTGACACAGGAAATATAAAGCTTAAAACAGGAACAGGAAACTACTCCAAACAAAAGGCTTTAGTGGGTCTAAAAACCTACTTCCCATATGTGCTCAGCTCTTATTTTTCTCTCCTCTTTCCTGCCAGAACCATCTTTCTTCAATAAACTGCAACCTTCTTTCTAAAGCAGTCACCATGTTGTTTATCCCCGGTTTGGATGAATCATGATGAAGACTTTTCCTTCAACAAAAGGTTTCATCTAAAAGACAAGTTTTTCCCTCTGTCTCCAAAGTCCCTGCTCTCAAGGAGAAATGAGGAATCCCATAGTAACGTATTGGCTACACAGACTTCATACCTTAATCCTCTGCTTTTCTTAACTCTCAGATTCTAGTGAAGTGTTTATTTCTACTGCCTGTCCTTCAAGCTTAATAGCTTTAGAAGTGGTGATACATATTTCTAATAGACTGTAGATACTTACAAGGGAACAAAACATTCTCCTATTTTTGTACAAGAAATGTGCTCTACTTGGCAAGAACAATGAGCAAGATTCTTCAACCATTTCAGTTAATTTTATTTACATATAAAATGTACGCTACTACCCACCTGCCTACAGACCTACACACACACACAAATATATGCAATTACTTGTACATTTGTATAGTCCCCTTTGGGGCTAAGCAACATTATGTAAAAGGAACCAAAAATAGTAAGTAAATGACCTAAAAAAGATTAAAAGAACAGCTGCTCCCAAATAATCTTATAAGAATTGACCTCTGTTACTCATCCTGGCTTGTTCAATGAAGGTTCAATCAGAGAACACTTCATAGTTATCTAAAGAACGAGCAGACCAGCCATAATAATATCTGTGTCTGCTAATGCTAAGAACCCTACTAGTCAATTTGGGCATATTTTGGACAGAGTGTTACAAGCACAAAGCTCAGTTTTGCTCCAGAGATGCCTCAGTTCTTAACCTAGGAATATGAAACCTGTGGCTTTTTGGATGTTAGCCAACTATACTGCCTCACATTCTTCACCATTGACTATGCCAATTGAAAATGCTAAGATACTTGGAGTGCTATAGCTTCCTCAGTTCTATCCTAGAGGCAAAACTATTTTTGTGGAATACCATTAATAGGAATATTATATGTATTGTATCGTATCGTATCATATCGTATTATATTTATATTAATTTACTTGGGAACTGTTTTACAGCATAATGTTTGATGTCTTGATCCAATTCCTCGAAGAATGTAATAATAACAGAGAAGGTGTGCTCCTGGTGTCCCAATAGATCACTTCGCTGAATCAAAAGAATCCAGAGTGCACCAACCTTGCAGAATCAAATGGGATAGGCAGATAGTATGGAGACAGTTAGGCCCTTATGCGACCAGGTCCTATGCCATGTAAGGCTTTGTAGCTAATCACCAGCCCCTTGAATTACACTTGCTATCTACTCACAACTGAATATCAACAAAAGGTTCTTGATATAATTACAGATCCCTTTCTTCCTTCTCAGCTTTCTCTCTACTGTATCTTAATACTCCAAAGGAACAATTTTATTTTATTTCTGCAGTGCCATATTCTTTCATGGAACATTAGGCATAGACAAAAAGTAACTAAAAAGATTCAAGAAGAATAAATAAATAAATTCAAAAAAATTGACCTCTTTTATGATTGTTGAAACACAAATAAATTTACTTATAATTTTGTGACTTGGGCTGAGAATAGAATAAAATTCAGATAACCTTATTAATAAATTCTAATGTTGCCTTTTGCACAGAAAAAAAAAAAACCCTCCAGAACAGCGGTTCTCAACCTATGGATCGCGACCCCATTTGGGGTCGATCGACCATTTTGCGGGGGTCGCGAAACAACGCAATCCGCCATTCCCCCCCCAAGGGGCGCCGCCGCGCATGCACGCCGCGCATGGGGGCGGCCCCGCGCATGCATGCTGCGCATGGGGGCAGCCCCACGCATGCACGCTGCACATGGGGCAGCCCCGCGCATGCACGCCGCGCATGGGGCAGCCCCGCGCATGCACGCCGCGCATGGGGGGCAGCCCCGCGCATGCACGCTGCGCATGGGGCAGCCCCGCGCATGCCGCCACCACGCCGCGCATGCGTGGCGCGTCCGTGTGACGGGGTCACCGTCACACGAAGATTGAGAATCGCTGCTCCAGAAGTATAGCAATCTTGAAAACATTTGTGTACCTAAATTATCTGGCTTACTTCTAATTGTTCTCAATATTTACTCCCATTTCGGAATGGGAGTAAAGGATGAGAAGAAACTATTATTCTAGTATGTCATCCCTTTGTTATCTCAGAAGAACAAAACTGAATCCAACTGTTGTTAATCATTTTGCAAGCCAATTGTCTATGATACTTCCAGTAGTTTCAATGGAAGCTTAGTCATTCTCTTTTAAATTCTTTGGTGTGACTTTCCAATATTTTATAGTATATCATAGTGTAATAATCTTGTTTTAATATGACTTGCACCAAACCTGCATAAAACTTGTTTTGGCCACATTAAAAAATAAAGCTATTTAAGCATTAATAATTAAGTACAATCACAATGATTGAAGTTCAGAGAAATTTGCCTGGTTGTTAACTTTACATTCTATCTTTACAACCACCATGTGAAATAGATTGAAAGAGCTTGACTGATTCATTAATAGTTGGGAATATGAATTAAAACTCATCTTTCTGATCCCTTGATGACATGGAACTGATCTTTGGCATGTTGTAAGGTTTTAGAAGAACTATATATATGTCTAGAATTGTAGGTAAGCATTGTTGATCAATTTTTATCTGACATAGCCTGTAGAATCTAGTGGAAGGAGTTATGTCTATAGTTTCCCCATTCCTTGATGTATGCTATGCAAGATCTGCAACTCAGATGAGAAACTCCTTTTTTTAAAAAATGGAAATAATAATATACCTGCTTACCATGTCAGCCTGGTAATACTATATTCCATACATTATTATCTGAATATTCCCTAATATCCATATATACAATACATCTTGCATGCATCAGGAATACATCAGCAGATCAGGAATTTATCAAACTGTCCCAAATCTGAAGATTTATATAAGTTTATTAAAACAAAACAAAAACAACAACAACAACAAAAAACTGAGTTCCCTGTCTCCCTAAAGCAACCCAACAAGTACTGAAGGAATTCAATGGACATGGTATTCTGAGTAATTATAGAAGAGAAACAGAAATAGAAAAAATGATGATAGTCAGATAGAGAAAACATAGAAGATTCTATGCTTGGCTAATTAAACTCCTGAATTATTTGTCATATTTTGGGAATTATTTGGTCATTTGGTTGCTCACCATTTTATGAAGGGCTGAAGCAGAAATGCAATGAAAACCTTAATTTAGCAGATCTTAATTAAATGGACCTCATATGCAACATGCCAACATTCTATGGCAATTTATGTAATGATGTCAAGATGAAAGTAAAGTAAAAGCAGTTTATCCCCCCCTCTCTCTCTTTCTCTCTCTCTCTCCCTCCCTCCCTCCCTCCCTGTTGTATATAACAATACTTCAATGCTTTTATGTATGAGGGATTTTTTTTTTAGCCAGAAAATCTGGATTATTTATGACATGTATCAGCTACAAACAATTCACAAAAAGCAAACAAAAAAGTTGAATGCATGCATCACAACATTACGATATAGTCTTGGCCATTTAATATTTGTTTTCCAACAATGGATGCAAACTGATGTCAGTTGCTCCTCCTCTGGCTTCCATGGATTCCCACGATTTCAATATTGTATGGATACAGTATGTCTGAAAAATTTCTTCCCGCCATTTGTTTTTCAGAAATGTGTGTTTCCAGAATTCTTATCAACGTTCTCTGCCCTTTTCCTGTTTCTCAGAGCTGTGTAGCTAATTATAGCACCACCTTATGAATATCTTACATTTCAAACTGATTTCAGAAGACTATCAACCTCTCCGTGATTAACAAATGGACAGTTAAGTCGAGTAAAATGTGTCACATATTATCTGATAGCAGTGAAAGGATTTCTCATCTCCTTATAAGTTTCAATAAATATTCCAACATTTGCATTAGAAGGATTATATCTACTTAAGCATTTACAAATGGATGACAAATGAGGTTTGGAGGTTTAAATCCCAGCATTTAATTTCCTTCTTGATAGGAAATTGAGGAAGAAGCAGGAGCACCACAAAATCAGTCATAATTGATTGAGCTCTGCATTGTGAGGGCATGGTAGGTTCAGTTAACTGCTTCAGACCATGGATCAGTCTCCCCAGGAAATTCTCATCTGGTTTGTATTAAGTCATTTCTATACTACTGTTAAATGAAAAATATTACTTTTTAAAGAGGCTTTTTAGATCCTAACAGTATAAGCCTTCTTTCCTGTATTGCCAATTTTCTTTATCATTTTGGTATAAAAGCTTATTAAGTGGGTTCTTCTGTACAATCATAAGCCATGTGGGATCATGCCAACTGCATGGATAAATTTCAAAAAGTCCTTAGATCTTGTTCTATTTGGGATTGATCCAATGCACACATATTGTAGAGCAGCGGTTCTCAACCTATGGGTTGCGATCCCATTTGGGGTCAATCGACCATTTCACGGGGGTCACCAAGCAAGGCTGTCCACCATTTTTTCCCTTTTCTGGTGGATGCCTTACCTTCCTTGGGCTGGGCCAGTTGGTGGCCCAGCTGGTGGTCGGCCTGCTCCGTCTCTGCTGCTTGCCAACTACGCCTCAGCCGGCGCAGGGGGCGGCACCACGCATGCACGGCGCTCCCAGGCAGGAAAGTTCTCGACTTACAACCGGTTGGGTAGTCCTCAACTTATAACCGGTTTAGTCCTCGACTTACGACCAGTTTAGTCCTCGACTTACGACCGGTTGGGGGTTGTGGCATTAAAAAGGTTGAGAAGAGACACAGATACATATATACAATGCTCCAACAAAATATTGAAACATAGAAAGCATAACTGAATTAAAAAAACAAAGAAACAACTTAAAATACCTACATAGATTGGGGTTTTTAAATATATTCATAAAAACACAATTCACATATATTTATGACGCATATTTGCAGTGTTTTTTTTCTAAAAAAAAAAAAGGTGCTGGAACTCATACATGGCATACAACCCGCCTTGCCTACCCTACAAGTTTCCATCTAAAAAAGGTGCCGGAACTCAGAAAGAGAAAAAAAGCCCTGCATATTTGTAACATTAAGGAATGAAACATGAAATAATACTTCTGTCCCAAAATGCCTTTATATAAGGTAATCAGTTAGAAATTACTTTGTTAATGTAACTAAAATATGACTTACAAAGGTCCTTAACTAACATATTCCTAAATTATCTTTGCTACTATGTCAACATTTCAGCATGACAATTTCCACATTTTTAATAACGTTGATTCAAAGAAGTAGAATTTTTTTTTTAGTTTTCAGAAAGTTTGACTGGAAACACAACCAACAGCTATAAAAATGTTGAATTTCTAATGTTACATCATTTTTAAAGTCCAAGAAGAAAATGTACAACCATTCCCAATTTACTAAAGATTTCTGATGAATTTACTAGTTTCCTAATTTTCAGTTACAACACTGACAAGTTTGCTAAAGTATCTCCAAATCTTAGAACATGTTTACATAAAAGTATTAACACCATTGTTTTAAACCAGTGGTTCTCAACCTGTGGGTCGGGACCCCATTTGGGGTCGAATGACCATTTCACAGGGGTCGCCAAACCACGCTGTCCGCCATTTTTTTCCCTTTTCCCTAGCTGTCCTACTCCCTCTTATTGGTGGTCACACCCACTTGGGGGTCACCACAACATGGGGAACTGTATTATAGGGTCACGGCATTAGAAAGGTTGAGAACCACTGTTTTAAACAGAAACAGTTTTTTCTCAGGTGTAATTTGTAACATTAGGTGGTACCAGAGTATAATATAAAATATAAATATGGCAATAAGGGAAGTAGAAGTTATTGTGCCTAAACATCTAAAATTCAGAATGTGCTAAAATCATTACAGGCCTTGGACCACAGGTGTTACTACCCCTGCTTCATGTCTGAGGTCTTCTCTCAAAGGCTTGGATACATTACATAAAATGGAAGGTTACATTTAAATACCAGTATACAAATGCTTGTGTCCTCAACCATGCACAGCATGAATATCCTTTTCCAGCTGTGTTTATATATAATTTCCACTAATTACAACTGTTGCTGATACTTAGCATCACTGATGATATTATTTTTATTAGGCTATCTTTTCCTAGCATGTCCTTCCCAACAATTAGACACCTTCATTAACCGGTTAGTCAGGCCACTGAACCTTTGCCTATTTAAAACTGGTTATATGAACTTGATTTTTTTAAATCCAATTGTTTATTTTAAAAAAAATCTTGTGGTGGGGAAATGAATGTGCACACATATAATTTAAAAACCATACCCTTAACAGTTTACTTTAAGGTACAACATTTTATGAAGGTATTGGCTGTAAAGTTCAATTTTGGGTTCCCCTTTACCTAAAAGTTCCAATTCAGTCTGATGAAAGAGAATTTCTGAAATTCTTTCAGGAAAGGAATTCAAACTGTTTCTTGCTTTTATTTAGAGAAAAGCAACT